CTGAACTAGAACTGACTAGAACTGAACTAGAACTGAACTAGAACTGAACTAGAACTGAACTAGAACTGAACTAGAACTGAACTAGAACTGAACTAGAACTGAACTAGAACTGAACTAGAACTGAACTAGAACTGAACTAGAACTGAACTAGAACTGAACTAGAACTGAACTAGAACTGAACTAGAACTGAACTAGAACTGAACTAGAACTGAACTAGAACTGAACTAGAACTGAACTAGAACTGAACTAGAACTGAACTAGAACTGAACTAGAACTGAACTAGAACTGAACTAGAATGAACTAGAACTGAACTAGAACTGAACTAGAACTGAACTAGAACTGAACTAGAACTAGAACTGAACCAGAACTGAACTCGAACTAAACTAGAGATGTACTAGAACTGAAAAAAATTGAAGTAGAACTAAACCAGACATGAACTGGAAGTGAATGACGAGTTTATATTTAGAACATTTTTTGAAAAGTTTCATAAATAAAAGATTTCTTGAGAAGTTTGCATGTTGATATTCAACAAATGACTAGGGGTTTGGGAAATTCCAAATGGATTGCTTAAGTTTCAAAAATCACCCTCACATAATTTCTAACTTAAAAGGTAACAATAAAATCTAATAATAAACAGCTTCAATAAATATTTATAATTGAAATTTTCCAAAAGAAAAAGTACCTACAGCTTAACAATTGCTTATCACTAAATTTAGTTTAAAGACAATGCTTTTAATTAAACATAATCATACACACTTATGCATGTGTACATACTATTAATATACAGATGATTAAACAAATAGTAAAAAGTCCCCAACTTGTTCGCTAAATAAAGCAAAAAACTACCATTTAAATATAACTTAGGTTAAAATAACACAAGAAATTGAAACGAAATAAATAGCGTAAGAAATCGAAAACAAAGCATCAGTTACTTCAAAACAAATCTAATAAACGGTTCAACTAAAAAGCTTAATTTAAGATTTTACAATCTTGAAAACATTATTTAAACATGAAATTCTTTATGGTGTTCGCTGTTACTTTCTGCTTGGCTTTGAGCTTTGTTAGCCAATCCTTGGCCTTGCCTGCTGATGATGAGGCCCACTTTGTCGATGGTTTGGAGGCTTTGAAAACAATTGAACCGGAATTACATGGCCGCTATAAGAGAGCTACTTGCGATTTATTGAGTGGTACTGGTGTTAAACATTCAGCTTGTGCTGCCCACTGCTTGTTGAGAGGAAATCGTGGCGGTTATTGTAATGGTAGAGCTATTTGTGTGTGTCGTAATTAATTGAGAAAATTTACAATAATTTGAATATAAATATGTATAAGATAATAAATTATTAAAAAATAAAATAAGATATTAAACTAATTTATATCCTTTTGTTACAAAAAGAAACATTTTCAAGAAATTCTTCAAAAAAACTATTTATTAGCTTTAAATAAGAATATTGGTCACTGGTGGTCACTTAAAATCTCTGCCACTATAGCATCAGTTATAAAAGTCTCCTCCACCACTTCCTGTGATGGATTTTGCCCCTCCCGCCCTTCAATCTTCTGGCCACACTTCTCTTTAACCTCCAAATTCGCCTTCTGTCTCAAATGTATCTTGCGATGGGTCCTTAAGGCCGCCGGCTGAACAAATCTTTTACCACATTCCTTGCACTGATGTGGCTTTTCTCCCGTATGAGTCATTTCATGGTACTTCTTAGTATCTGCTTTGGCAAAAGTCCTGTCACAAAAACGACAAGCAAAATCTTTAGCTCTTTCGTGCATATTCCTCACGTGCATTTTCAAATTGCCCGCACTATTACAGACTTTGGGGCAAAAACGACAAGGCCAAGTTCTTTCCAGGGTGTGATAGTTAATGTGTATTTTCAGTTCATTGCGTGTTGTCTTAAGCATACCACAATAGGGACAGCTAAAGTTCTTAATACCGGCATGACGCATTTTATGCACCTTTAGTTTTTCTTTATTGGAAAAACGTTTACTACAGTTCGGCTCTTCACAGGCATAAGGCAGTTGTGTCCTATCAATATGGGTATAGTGGTGATCATTTAAAACGGCCGATGATTTGAATACTTTACCGCAAACTTCACACATATGGGTCTTAAGTTCGGGACCCAAATTGTGATATTTACGTTTGTGGACATTTAGGGCAGATTTATTCTTATAAACTCTTTCACAATTATCCACATCACATTTGTAGGTTTGGTCTACTGCAAGCTTATGTTCCTTTTGATGTCTGTTATAGTTATGCCAGCGATTAAAGGAACGTTTGCAGCCTTCGTAGTAGCAAGAGTAAGGAGGTAAGCCATCATGTTCTCGTTTGTGGGCTTCAAGACGGTGTAGCGCATTAAAGCTTTCATTACAGCGATCACATTGATGTTTAGGCTTTTCAGGAGTAAAGCTTTCTTGTGTTGAAGAACAGCTTTCGGTATCGGAAAGAGTCTAAAATAGAAAAGTATCAAAATAATGAGTTTAAACATGTTTTTAAATAGTATTATACCTTTTCCTACCTTTTCCTCTAATTTTTCCTGAACATTAGTATGTTCTTTATTTGCTGTTACTTGTTCTTCTGTTACAACATTTGCTTTCGCTCCTGTAGTGTCCAAATTAACCTTATATTCTTCATTAAATAAAAACTCTTCTTTATATTCCTTAACAGTTTCATTTTTTAAAGTAATACTAATATTTTCTTGCTGTATTAAACTGCTGCTTTGACTTTTGCTCTCCACATTTCCTTGCGGATTATCAATAACAATTTTCTTTTTAGGAGGCCTACCTCTTTTTTTCTTTTCCAAATATTCTTCTTCTTGAATTTCAATTTCTTGTGAAATCTCTTTAAAATTCGTCTCTATAAGATTTAACGGCTTCCGATCAACATTTAAGGGATCTTTTGCTGCAACCACAACTTCCTCCAATTCCAATTGACTTGCTTCTTCATCCAGCTCCTGCTTAGTTTTTAATAAATCATTAAATTTATCCAAGGAATTGCGGCACATTTGTTGAAATTCATAAAATAATAAAATTTGTTCATAACACCGTTCGCACACATAATGAGGATATTCATCGGAGGCCACCATTGTTAGACCGGAACATTGCATCAACTTTTGAGCTAAATCCAAGGTTTGGAAAATATCGAAAGTCTTTCCTTCGTTAAAATACTGTAAACAGGTGCGACATAAACTTATTTTTAAATCTTTATTCAACATTTTTCTGGCTATAATATAATTTTTTTTAAATTTTCTAAAAATTCCCAAATTTTTTTTTGTTTACATTTTTTTCGCAGCTGTTTTTGTTTATTTACATTTCTCTTTTGTTGCTAACTTTTGCCACAACTCTGTGTTGTTTTTTGTTTTTGTTTCAACAGCTGTTTGTATTTGTTTACATTTTTGCTGTGAGTACTTTTTAATACAACTGTGTAGCAGCTGTTGTTAGATAAAATTTATCTGACAGCTGTGAGAAAAAAATATTTCTTTTGTTTTGTTTACATGTATATTTTTTATAATAAATAGTGAAAATAATTAATTTTTTATAAAAATAATACTTAAAATGGAGCATTCTGTACATTATATAGAATTATCGAAAAATCCTATAAGATTCGATGCAGTTAGTCAATTAACTAATGTCTTTTTTGATGATTCCAATAAGCAGGTAATATGAGACGCCTCTTTTTTTTTCAAATTCAAGGTCTAACATTGATTATTGTTAAACCTTAAACGCAAATGATATTTTCCTATTACAGATCTTTGCCGTACGTTCGGGTGGCGCCACCGGTGTGGTCGTTAAAGGTCCTTCTGAGGATAAGATAATTTCATTTGTATGACCGATCGTGGTGCTATACGTTCCATCAAATTTTCTCCTGATAATCAAATTTTAGCCGTACAAAGACGTGAAAATTCGGTAGAATTTATATGCTTTCAGGGTGATCAACCCATGCTGCAGGAAATTATCGTACATCAAGTCAAAGCCTTAATTTATGGTTTTGTTTGGGTACATAATAGAGAATGTGCCTTAATATCGAATTCGGGTGTGGAAATATTCACCATAGTGGCAGAGAAAAGTCAAGTGAAGTCCGTAAAAGCCATGAGTATGAGTATTAAATGGTTTGCCTGGTGCTCCGAGGCCAATATAGCTGTTTTGTGTACAGCCGATAGTAATAGTTCTTTAATACCGATATTGATCAAACAAAAATCTATAACCAAATTGCCCAAACTTGATTGTAAGTATAGAATATGTTTACCAGATCACTTTATAAAAAAATTTCTTTAAGTGGGCAGTTCCAACCGCGAAATCCAGGAGAGTAAAGTTACTTTGGGTCAAATCTATGGTGTTATGGCTGTTTTGATCTTACAAGCTAGTGCCTCGGGTATGATTGAGGTTGAAGTTTATTTATTGAATGGCCCCGGTTTGGCACCTCGTAAATGTCATGTTTTACGTTTGGGTTTGGTGGGACGCTTTGCCATTAATACGGTGGATAATTTAATTGTGGTTCATCATCAGGCCTCGGCTACTTCTTTATTGTTTGATATTTCCCTTAGCGGTGAGATAGTTAATGATATAACATATCATTCTCCCATTACTGCTGGCCGATCGATAAGACCTTTTGCCTTAAAGTTGCCCAGTTTGCAACCGGATGGTCAAATTTACAATGTGAATTATGTGAGTACTATGTGCAAGCATTTGCAATATTTCTATAAAACTGTTCTTTTTTTCCAGATTCTACAAACTGGGTTCTATTTCAACCCAACATTGTTATAGATGCCAAATTAGGTTGCATGTGGTATCTACACTTGGACATTGAATCTCTGTGCACCTTAATATCAGATCGCATAAGATTAACCGAATTTCTATTGCAACGTCACAATGGTAAACAGACTTTGCTAAAAGTACTCAGACAACTAGTAGATGATCAATACAATGGAGCCTTTTTACCATGTATTGGAAACTATATTAAATAAGATCAACAAAGTATACTGCGTAAGTTTAACACTTTCTGCTATCAACAAAAATGACATTACTGTTAAATCTTTTATAGATCCTGGGTCCATTTGGAATTGCAAAATCAAACAGCTCAACCTTCAAATGTTAAAACCACCCCCAAATCTCCCACTCCTCCTAAAGTTTTAATAGAACAAATCGATATGCATACCCAAGTATTCCAATATATTGTAGAGAAACCACAGTGCCAAACCATACTTTTACTTTATCTACAATCTTTGTGCAAACATAATATAGCTGCCCAAGAGGATCTAAGTAAAATGCTAATAAATGAATTGATTTTAAATAAAAGTTTCGATACTTTACGTCGTTTGGCCGAGTATTCACTGCTAATGGAATCAAAGGCTATAGCCTGTTATTTACTCTCACATTCTAATGAAGATCCTGCAGTCTCACAAGTTGCCTTAGATATGTTAACAAAAATTAAAGCTCACGAAATTATTATAGAAGTTTTACTGGGCCAGGGTAAGGTAGTGGATGCTTTGCGCCTAGCCATTAATACCAGTGATGCGGGCCGTATATCGGCTAGGAAATTTTAGAAGCTGCTCAGAAATCACAAAATGACATGACCTTTCATAGTGTTTTTAAGTATTTTCAAATGTGTAATTTAAAACAGCATGGTTCGATGGAGTTTTTGAAAAGTAAGTAAATTTTTTGTGTTGAAAATTTTTTATAACTGCGTTTTTGTTTTTCTATTGCAGCTGAACAATGTACGGAATTTGTTCAATATTACAATAATTTGTATAAAACTAATTAGCAAACCAGGTTTTGAAAACCTTAGTTTAGTTTTTATGATAATTTAAGGTGAATTTTGTAATGGAAATATTTGAAAATGTTTTGTAAGTAAAATTTTGATATTTTTAAATTTCAGGTGCTTTTTTCATAATAAAACTTACAGTATTCTGATGAAAAATAAATTGGGGTTTCTTTAAATAAAAAAATATGTATTGCAAAATTTATTCTATCAAAATTATTTTGCCCAATATTGCAAAATTTTCTATAAAAATATTTTGCAATATTGCAAAATTTCTATAAAAATATTTTGCAATATTGCAAAATTTTCTATAAAAATATTTTGCAATATTGCAAAATTTTCTATAAAATTTGTTGCAATATTGCAAAATTTTCTAAAAAATTTGTTGCAATATTGCAAAATTTTCTATAAAAATTTGTTGCAATATTGCAAAATTTTCTATAAAAATTGTTGCAATATTGCAAAATTTTCTATAAAAATTTGTTGCAATATTGCAAAATTTTCTATAAAAATTTGTTGCAATATTGCAAAATTTTCTATAAAAATTTGTTGCAATATTGCAAAATTTTCTATAAAAATTTGTTGCAATATTGCAAAATTTTCTATAAAAATTTGTTGCAATATTGCAAAATTTTCTAAAAATTTGTTGCAATATTGCAAAATTTTCTATAAAAATTTGTTGCAATATTGCAAAATTTTCTATAAAAATTTGTTGCAATATTGCAAAATTTTCTATAAAAATTTGTTGCAATATTGCAAAATTTTCTATAAAAATTTGTTGCAATATTGCAAAATTTTCTATAAAAATTTGTTGCAATATTGCAAATTTTCTATAAAAATTGTTGCAATATTGCAAAATTTTCTATAAAAATTTGTTGCAATATTGCAAAATTTTCTATAAAAATTTGTTGCAATATTGCAAAATTTTCTATAAAAATTTGTTGCATATTGCAAAATTTTCTATAAAAATTTGTTGCAATATTGCAAAATTTTCTATAAAAATTGTTGCAATATTGCAAAATTTTCTATAAAAATTGTTTGCAAATATTGCAAAATTTTCTATAAAAATTTGTTGCAATATTGCAAAATTTTCTATAAAATTTGTTGCAATATTGCAAAATTTTCTATAAAAATTTGTTGCAATATTGCAAAATTTTCTATAAAAATTTGTTGCAATATTGCAAAATTTTCTATAAAAATTTGTTGCAATATTGCAAAATTTTCTATAAAACTTTGTTGCAATATTGCAAAATTTTCTATAAAAATATTTTGCAATATTGCAAAATTTTCATAAAAATTTTTGCAATATTGCAAAATTTCCTATAAAAATTTGTTTGCAATATTGCAAATTTTCTATAAAAATTTGTTGCAATAATTGCAAAATTTTCTATAACAAATTTGTTGCAATATTGCAAAATTTTCTATAAAAATTTGTTGCAATATTGCAAAATTTTCTATAAAAATTTGTTGCAATATTGCAAAATTTTCTATAAAATTGTTGCAATATTGCAAAATTTTCTATAAAAATTTGTTGCAATATTGCAAAATTTTCTATAAAAAATTTGTTGCAATATTGCAAAATTTTCTATAAAAATTGTTGCAATATTGCAAAATTTTCTATAAAAATTTTTGCAATATTGCAAAATTTTCTATAAAAATTGTTGCAATATTGCAAAATTTTCTATAAAAATTTGTTGCAATATTGCAAAATTTTCTATAAAAATTTTGCAATATTGCAAAATTTTCTATAAAAATTTGTTGCAATATTGCAAAATTTTCTATAAAAAATTTTGAATATTGCAAAATTTTCTATAAAAATTTTGCAATATTGCAAAATTTTCTATAAAAAATTTGTTGCAATATTGCAAAATTTTCTAAAAAATTTTGCAATATTGCAAAATTTTCTATAAAAAATTTGTTGCAATATTGCAAAATTTTCTATAAAAATTTTGCAATATTGCAAAATTTTCTATAAAAATTTGTTGCAATATTGCAAAATTTTCTATAAAAATTTTTGCAATATTGCAAAATTTTCTATAAAAATTTTTGCAATATTGCAAAATTTTCTAAAAAATTTGTTGCAATATTGCAAAATTTTCTATAAAAATTTGTTGCAATATTGCAAAATTTTCTATAAAAATTTGTTGCAATATTGCAAAATTTTCTATAAAAATTGTTGCAATATTGCAAAATTTTCTATAAAAATTTGTTGCAATATTGCAAAATTTTCTATAAAAATTGTTGCAATATTGCAAAATTTTCTATAAAAATTTTTGCAATATTGCAAAATTTTCTATAAAAATTGTTGCAATATTGCAAAATTTTCTATAAAAATTTTTGCAATATTGCAAAATTTTCTATAAAAATTTGTTGCAATATTGCAAAATTTTCTATAAAAATTTTGCATAAAATTGTTGCAATATTGCAAAATTTTCTATAAAAATTTGTTGCAATATTGCAAAAATTTTCTATAAAATTTGTTGCAATATTGCAAAATTTTCTATAAAAATTTGTTGCAATATTGCAAAATTTTCTATAAAAATTTG